ACTTACGAAGTGAGTCTTGGAGGCGGTCTCTTTCTTCCCGAACCGCCTTCGAGGCCTCCTTCTCATCCGTCAGCTCCTTGTCCTTGCGAGTCAGCCGATCCACGAAATCCTTCTCTATTTGCGGACGCAGCTCCCCCTCCAAGACCGCACGACCATCCTCCACCTTCTTCTTCAAGTTCGCAATCTCGACCGCATTATCATCTACGGTCTTGGTCAAGCGGTCATTCATGAGGATGATTTGCGAAAAGCCGATCTGAGCCTGCGAAACAAACAACAAGTCAGTACACGCACTATAACATTCACAAACCGCTCCAAGATATGGCAGCCACTTACCCCAAAGAAAAACTGCGATGCGGTTCCTGCCAGGCGGCGGTTGCTCTCCTACGATGTAGCAATGTACTCATTGGGCATCTCCAGCTGCTCGCTGATGGTGTGAAACGCCAACTCGGCCGCCTGTGTCGAGGGCGGCCAAAGGAGGGACAGTCACAGAACCAGATTTGGCCGACCGCTTCGGGGCAGGCCCATGCTTTTCCCCAGCCTTAACGCGCGGAGAACTAACCTTCGCGCGCTTACAGGCCGCCTCGGGAGCTTCGCGCTCTATCACCCTCTTCCCCGCTCCCCGAGCAATGGGAGCAGAAGACACACCAACCGCACCCGACGATTTCGCGGGAGACTGTGCTTGGGGAACCGCCGAAAGATCAATCATAGTAACCGCCGCAGACGAAGGAGCCTCACCCGCTCGTGCGGTCCTACCTGCCTTCCTCTTCTTCGGCCTGTTGGCATCCGCCAACTCCCTCAGCCCTGGAGAAAGAAAGCATAAGTAAAAACACATGAGAAGGATAAAGAACGACGTTTCAAGTAAACACTACTGACCATAAAAACCGCGAACAAGCTGATAAGCACTGTTAGAGCCGCTATGCTGCACACGCAGTTGAACGCCCTCCACTATCCGCGCCACGTGATCCCGCACGGACTGTGGGAACTGAGTAGAATCGCACCAGCCGTCCTTGGAACCAACCGCATACCCGGTAGGCGGCTCAACATCACCCGCGTACCACTTCCACGAAGGACGGGCAAAGAAATACTCCTTATACCATGGCGAATCCAGCTTTGGCGCCCCTCTCACAAATCCAACCGAATTTTCCCGCCTCCCAATCGACCAACAATTGGTCGAGTCACGGATATTATAAATCATCCGAAAAGCATCAAATGACGGATCCTCTTTAAGGCGGTCACACGCCAAACAATACATGACCGAATGGAAGATAATCGTTGGCGAAAAACGCCCTAGAGTGCATTGGATCCGGAGAACAATCCTTATTAGAAGATCGTCAAGAGGAAACCGTAAACCAAGCTTAACATGCTCGACCAATATGGGGATCCAGCCGGAAGGACATGATCCAATGCGACTCCTCGCAGAAGGGACCGCATAAAGCCAGTCTGGTGGCATCCGTAGCGATTTAAGCCGGTACAACACCTGCTTAGGCTTAAAGGCCGCAATATGCGGCGGACCCTGCTCAAAGACCTCCTCCGGAACGGCCTCCCCATCCCACATACCGGCATGGCGCAGAACAGTGTACACAGGGTCTTTAATAGCAATAGGAAGCGGTCTTGGTTCCCCATCCTCTGAAACCTCCAACGAGGATGAAGAACTCGGATGCGCCCCAGACCGCACCCCGTCACTATCAACCTCCTCCGAGTCATCCAACGATATGCTATCTAAGTCTACCCGCTCAAATTCCCCAAGATTATCCCCAACCGCCGACGAGGTGGCCACAACCCCAACTGGTACAGGGTGGAGGTTAGCACAAGAGTTATCTAAGTCTACACAAGTTCCAACAAGGCAATCTCTCAATTCGTACCCCTCTCCAACATATAGCTCTAACCCGGATAAATCCCACACGCATTCAGACGTGCTTCGAACAGGAGAAGAATAATTCGTACCTTGAATACCAGAAGCGGTCTCCATAGATTTTTTCCCGGTAGCACGAGGCGGCACCGTAGCGGCCGAGGATGCGGGTTCCTTCATTGACACCGCCGTAGGCCCAAGGTCAGCGACCAGGACGTTCCCCGCCTCAGGGGCATGGTCCTTCTCCCCGCTGAGCAACGATGAGGGTCCCTCACCCGACATCTGTCGACGGCGAGAACGAACAAGATCGGCGATTCCCCAATACCCGAAGCACCGGCGTCGCCCACAAGAACAACACGCAAGTCAACAACACTAAAGAAATCACGCGTCCGAGGCCCAAAACAAAAAAAAAAGTGAAGTCAAGACTCACCTGAAAGACTGAATTTATAGGCGACGACGTCGGAGACCTTCAAGCTTTCCGCAGAGAAAGAAGAGAGGAAGAAGACGAGGCGCTTTCCTAAACCGGAGGAGAGTGGCGGAAATCCCTCTCGAAATCCTACTTAAAGGCGAAAAGGGAAAGAATGACGTCCCGAAGAGATCTTTTTCACGAAGCCCGAGAACGGAACACCCCCAGAGGTGACGTTCCGTCTGCCGGTGTCAGAGCTCCCCGCCCGATGCGTGACACGTGGCGAGTGAAAGTCGAATACCGAGACCGGACGCGGTCCTTCCCCTCAGGCGTCCTCACGATATGTCTCCGCGACTAGGGGCAGCAAGGGAATCACACTAAATGCGGCTGATGACCGCCTCGAGCGTACTATGGGCCAGGACACCCAGAACCACCCAACATTGGCGGAAAATATTGTTTAGCCGCGAAAACCTATCGCTTCCCACGCCTAAGGGGCAAATGTTGGGCCAAATATTGAGGCGCTTGGGCTCCAGGCCCATAGTAGCCTAAGACCCATTGCTGGGCCAAATAGTGAGACACTTGGGCTCCAAGCCCATAGTAACTCAAAGTCCGTAAAGAAACGAGTCGGGCCTGAGTAGGGGCAACGAGTCACCAAAACCCGCCAAAGGCGGTCTTTTCCTACAAATGCAGCGAGAACCGCCCAACATGGATGTATGACCACCCGACATTAAGACATATGGATACTTGGTCCCGACCTTATCGGTACGGAGTCTAACAAAGGTACAGATAAGTCAGTACTGTTGAGGGCGTCCCAAGACCGCCCGACATAATGGCAAACGGAAACCTGGCTCTGACCTGATCAGTACGGAGTCTGAAAAAGGTACGGAGTGGCTGAGCTGTCGAGGGCGTCCCAAGACGCCCGACAAGTCATTAAATGCCCATGATCCGCTTAGCACTAGTATAAATACTCAATTGCGAACCACATTGATAGTAACTTCTACCAACTCGATTCTCTCTCTTATTTACTCTCATTTCCACTTCTCTCTCTAACTTAAGCATCGGAGGAGGTCCCAGGAACCCCCTGAGGACCTTTCTGCAGGGTTTCGGAGACCGCCCTCGACCATCGAAGCCGTCCAAGGCCAGTGGAGTCTCACAAACCACTTGGAACAATCCAAGCACAAACAATAATTAAATATGTAAATTAGATTATATGTATATTAGTCGTCTCTCAACCTCCAATTCGACAAATTAAAGATTACCATTGACAAAAATTTGAGATGTCACCTCTCCTCCATTCTCCTTATCTATATTCTAGCTCTAGACAAATTCATGACTCGTTGCTTAGTCTCTTTGTACTAAATTAAACAATCAAACCTAATTTATATATTTAATTATTAATTGCAATGGTAATTAATTTCGTATTTGATCATACCGATTGGGATACCGAAGTACCGATTAGGTTACCATTTAGGGATTGGGATTGATTTTAGGATATAATTTGGTATTCGAGATTTCGATATTTGGTATTGGGATATTGATACCGTACTGATTTTCACCCCTAATTATTAGTGTTTGCTTTTTGGTGTAATGAAAATAACAAGAGATTAGGTGAGAGACGAGAGTGACTTAAACGGGAAATTCAAAATTGATTTGGATGGGGGCTTCTAAGTTGTGAAAGAGTTAGGAATGATCAAAGGTTGTGTGCTATATTTCATTAATTTTAATTTTTGGTATTTCTTGGTATTTTGGTATATACCGATCCCAATCTCGTAATCCCGAATACCGAATAGTAGTCCAAAATGAATCCCAATCCCAATCCCTAAAAAATAAGTCGGTATTCGATAATACCAAATACTAATAAATTCAGTACGGTATTCGATATATCCCAAATACCGGTACCAAACTTCCAGCCCTACCTGCTACCCCTCAAAGGCCACCAAATTCCTAGACTTCCAAATTCACCAGACACACAAGATGAACTACTCTGGCTTCTGAATTAGGGGTGTCGGCCCAGGATCCAACTCAAATGGACCCAAAAATCTGGGCCTAAAACTCTGGTTAAACATGCCAAATCTGGGCCAAGCTTCTGACTAGTTGTTCGACTGACGCGTCCTGTAATATCTTTTGTTTCCCATTCCAACGGCGGTGCTTTGGGGCGCTGCATTTACAAGTTACAACTAAAGACCATATCTCCATATCCGTCCGTGGGGCAGCGGCCAAGCAGAGAGAGAGAGAGAGAGAGGATCAAAGATCGCAGCTTTTCTGTCTTCCTTCCAGTTCCAGATCTGAGACGGCCTTGCTTGACAGGGAGGGAGAGAGGGTAAAACTTCATCAGCTTCCCAGGGCCTGGGTTGATATGAAAGCCTAGAGATTGATGGCCGGAGTCAATTTTGCGCAAGAAGACATTGAGAGAGACGACAGAGCGACCCATCTTTGGGTAGCTGAATCTGCGTGGATGAAACGAGGTAATTCATTCAAACATTTCAAATTTGATTTGATTTCATTTTACCCTTTTCATTGCCGTGCTGGTGGTGTTGTCGTGTGAATGGTTTAATCCTTTTTCCTCCTCCGATTAGGAGTAGTTGCTACCCTACTCTGCCGCTTCTTTTTCGGATTCGGATAGCAACAACTCCATATAAATGAACTGACTTTGATGTATTCCAGATTCCGGCATCTTTTAAAATTGGGTCCAGGTTCCCTCAGCCATCCAATCTAGCTTAAGTTTTGAAGCCGGCGAACATGACGATGAGGGGAAAACAAGGCAGAGCAGAAGAAGAAGAAGAAGAAGAAGAAGAAGAAGCAGAGGAGGGTTATGCTTGGAGTGAGTTGCCCGGGGAGCTATTGGCTCTAGTCGACCAAAGGTTGATTAAATTACGACACCGAATCCGCTTTCGAGCAGTTTGTAAAAGATGGAGGAAACAATTGGCAGAGATGCAGCCTATATTGTTCAATCAATCATCTCTTTCGCCGTTGCTGATGTTACCCTACTGCGGCAGCAGTAGCAATAGCAGTGACTGCGAAGATGCTGATTGTGGTTGCGGCAGCCAGGAACAAGGCTGGCAATGCCGTCTTTTCCTGGACATGGCGGGCAACCAGTACCACCACATTGATTTCGCGCAAGGCTTCGAGAAAATCTACTGTCGCGGATCAGCATTCGGATGGCTGTTTATGTTGCAGCACATCCCTCTGTTACTAAACCCCCTCACTGGGAAGCAGATCCCGCTCCCTCCCATTTCATCGTTTCCGGACATGTTGGAGTATAACCCGGAACGAGTCGGCCATGAGTATTTGGTCCAGTATCCCAACGGCTGGAAAATAGGAGCAGGCAAGAGATATTTGGAGTCCATGTACATGGAGAGGGTTGTAATGTCAGCTGATCCCGCTACTTCAAAGGATGACTGCATTATCCTGGCCATCCGGAATAACAGTAATACACGGTTAGCTTTCTGCAAGCCCGGAGCGGACAAATGGACATTGATTCCCAATCCCGATGGCCACCCATCGATTTGCTTCAGGAACACTGTGTTCTGGAGGAACCAATTCTATGCCGTGGACACCAAGGGCAAGGTGCTGTGTTGTGATCTATCCAATGATGATGCCCCTAGGATGTCCTTTTTGGCTGCAGAATTTGATATTGTCACTCATACATTCTACTTGCTCGTTGGTCCAGCAGATGAGTTGATGATGGTTACCAGATCCTATGGCTATGAAAGAAATGATAATGCTGATGATGAAGATGAGGATTATGTCGATGATGATGAGGATTATGTTTATAATGATGATTATGTCGATGATGAGAATTATGTCGATGATGATCAACACAGAGAAGTCGATAATCGCGATGTGAGCGATGACGACAGACAACTTGATCCGTTGGGTATTGTTTACTTAACTGATCTCGACTCAGATGGTGAGGAGGAAAGTTTTCGACCTAAGAATTATTGGACGACAGGTTTCATGGTTTACAGGCTCAATGAAGATACACACCAATGGGAGCATGTCCGTGACATTGGTGATTTCGCCTTCTTCCTGGGTTTTAATGCTCCTATATGTCGCTCTACCAAAGATCATCCGGGATTCAAATCGAATTGCATCTACTTTACAGATGATCATTCAAGTGGACACAGAAGACGGAGGTTTGGAGGTCATGATATGGGCATTTACAATCTTAGGAACGGTTCTGTTGAATCCATTCTCTCTTCTAACTTATACAAACATACTTTGATTTGGCCTCCACCCTTATGGATTTTACCTTAAGTTGGTTAATGAGAAGCAAATTTAGACAATTATTAGCGGGAAGTCTATCAATCCACTCATGAACTTGATAATTGAATTGCATTTCCAACACAGTAAAGGTAATCTGCTGCAGGGGTGGAAATCAGTACGGTATCCCAATACCAAATACCGATTTTCGAATACCGAATTACATCCTAAAATCAATCACAATCTCAACTCCTAAATCATTTCGATATCCCAATTCCAATCCCTATATTTTAGTATCCCAATCGGTATTATCGAATATAAAATTAATTACCATTACAATTAATAATTAAATATGTAAATTAGATTATTGTTTAATTTAGGACAAAGAGACTAAACAACGAGTCATGAGTTTGTCTAGAGGTAGAATATGAATAAGGAGAATGGATGAGGGGTGACATGTCAAATTCTTATAATTGGTAATCTTTAACATGACGAATTGGAGGCTGAGATACGACTACTACTAGAGTACTAGTAGAGCTGGAAGTTTGGTACCACCGTACCGGTATTTGGGATATACCGAATACCGTACCTAATTTATCACTATTTGGTATTGTCGAATACCTATTTATTTTTTAGGGATTGGGATTGAGATTCATTTTAGAGTGCTATTCGGTATTCGGAATTACGAGATTGAGATCGGTATATACCGAAATATCAAGAAATACCAAAAATTAAAAATTAATGAAATATAGCACAAAACCTTTGGTCATTCCTAACTCTTTCACTACTTAGAAGCCCCATCCAACTCAATTTTGACTTTCCCGTTTAAGTCACTCTCGTCTCTCATCTAATCTCTTGTTATTTTCATAACCCAAAAAGCAAACACTAGTATTAGTCATCTCTCAATCTCCAATTCGACAAATTAAAGATTACCATTGACAAAAATTTGAGATGTCACCTCTCCTCCATTCTCATTATCCATATTCTAGCTCTAGACAAACTCATGACTCGTTGCTTAGTCTTTTTATCCTAAATTAAACAATCAAATCTAATTTATATATTTAATTATTAATTGCAATGATAATTAATTTCGTATTCGATACTACCGATTGAGATACCAAAGTACCGATTAGGTTACCAAAATATTTAGAGATTGGGATTGATTTTAGGATATAATTCGGTATTCGAGATTTCGATATTTGTTATTGGGATACTGATACCGTACCGATTTTCACCCCTAATTACTAGTGTTTGCTTTTTGGTGTTATGAAAATAACAAGAGATTAGGTGAGAGACGAGAGTGACTTAAACGGGAAAGTCAAAATTGAGTTGGATGGGGGCTTCTAAGTTGTGAAAGAGTTAGGAATGATCAAAGGATGTGTGCTATATTTCATTAATTTTAATTTTCGGTATTTCTTGGTATTTTGGTATATAGCGATCCCAATCTCGTATCCCGAATACCGACTAGTAGTCCAAAATGAATCCCAATCCCTAAAAAATAAGTCGATATTCGGTAATACCAAATACTAATAAATTCGGTTTGATATTCGATATATCGCAAATACCTGTACCAAACTCCCAACCCTACCTGCTACCCCTCAAAGGCCACCAAGTTCCTAGACTTCCAAATTCGCAGAGAAGGCACACAAGATGAACTACTCTGGCCGGGGAAGAGTCACGTTCTAAGAACCTTCGAAAGAATATAGCACACGCTAAATCTCGGTTGGGTGGAAAATCTTCCATCAAGCCTGATATCTCCCACAAAGCCTTCTCCACCGGGCAAGAGAAGAATAAATGCTCTATAGTTTCTTTCTCTCCCAAGCAGACCAGACATCTCGGTAATACCAATACATTTTTAGGATCAAGGCCTCCATCGTCGGGAGAGTGTGTTGCAATATTTGCCAGTGCTTTCGTTCTTCCATAAACGCGACTCAAGCCCTCAGCCAGTCTATACCCCGACTTCACAATATACGCATACATTCTGAAAATGTTTCTATGAAAAAAAGTTGTAGTCCTCGAAAAGTTATGTGGAAATGTTTCTCTATCAGACTCGATCCACTACCTCAGAAAGTGGATCGAGACTCTCTAACTCGATCCAAACTCGAACCACTCCAAACTTAGGCAATTTGGATTTTTTTTATAACGGTTGTATTTTAAATTTTTTTAATTATTACTGTATTTAATGAAAACTCCCGTCGGGAATCGGATGGAGGAGACACCGTGGGGACTGGCAAGGATTGGATTGGATGGATAGCGATGAGGTTTTGGCAATGGTATAGATGCGGCAACTGCGATCCTGCTGGGTTTCTAACTTCTTCTTGTGGAGAGGAGGAGCATGGAGGCTAACGTCGGTTTGGGAAGAGCGCATAAGCGCGACTCGGGGCCGATTTTAATTTTTACTTGATTTGTTATTTTATTAGATAAAGCAAATAAGAAAATAATTTGTAATTTGAATTTTTTTTTAGATTTTCGTGTTGACATGGCAGTGAGCTAGATTGTTGACCGTCCATATTAACGGTCAAAACACGCGTCCGACCAATTGAGTCTATATGGTGTATAATTGAAATCAATATAGGAATTTCTGAAAATACATATCAAAGTTGTTTATTTGGTTATAATTCGGGACAAAAATGAATAAGTTATTAACTTATCATAGTTGATCTTGTCGTCAATCTCAATCATCCTAGACTAGAACTCTACCGTTGGCCTGTAGAGATTAAGATGGAGATTGGGATCGGTACGCACCAACGAGGAAAGGTGAAGCCGTAGAACTGGAATCGACGATGAAGATTTTTGGTCGGAACGTCTCTCTAGTGTTGGGTTTGACAACGGACGCCGCCACAACTGGAAGGGCGGTGGTTCGTTCCGCCGGCCCTCTTTTCTTCGCGGCGCTCAAGGACCGCCCTAGCGGATTAGCTGCGACTTGGGCCGAATTTACTTTTGTAATTTGAATTTGATTTTTTATTTATTATTTTATTATATAAAGAAAAGAAAATAATAATTTATGATTTGATTTTTTTTAAAAATTTTAATGCTGACATGGTAGTGAGTTGGACCGTTGACAGTTAGTCAATAGTGTTGACCGTCTAAATTGACGGTCAAAACACGCGTCCGACCAATTGAGTCTATATGGCGTATCATTGAGGTTGAGATATGAATTTATGAAACCACATGCTAAAGTTGATTATTTGTGTATAGTTCGGACTAGAATAAGGTATTAACCCATAGAAAAACACACAAGCTTCATAATTGAGTTTTCATTATGTTGTGCAATCCATTGATGCCAATGTACTTTCATTTAAATCAAGAAATAGTGGGGGTTGTTTCCTACGTACTATAAGAAATAATGGAACTAGTGGGGGGTGATGAATCTGGATATGAACTCAGTAGAAGCAAACGTACCATAAATCTTTAAATGATTTTGGTTCTGAGTTTGTTATTTACACCCTAGAAAGATTTTATAAGTCTGCTAGAAGTTTGAACTTCCATAAAGATGGAGATTTGTGGTAAAAAGTCATTATTAACGAAATGGAATCATGGAGTCTAAGGCCATCTACATCCATGAAATACAATTTCTATTTCATATGAGGTCCCTACCGCCACATCAACAACTTTTACAATTTCACTACATACCAATTTCATTACTCTACATCAATGAAATTCACTTATTATTTCATATGGTGGACCTAATTGAACTTTTTACTACATATTATCATTGAAAAAATAGATACTTCCTAGATTCCAGATTCTGCTTACAAAGCACACACACTCCATTGACCATCTTTCCCCATTTCATCAACTTATCCATTGTGACTATGCCATCTAAGAGCACAATCCAAACAAGAAAACTATTTCTAGGGATGAAACCACGCCCCCACACTAGTTGCTTGCAACATCCCTACCCTCGTACTAATTATTACGTCATAATGATATGTTTGTGATCGGGTTACAAAAATTGGTCTTTTGAACCAAAAAGGAAGTGAATAGTTGAGTTTTTGGACTTAACGGTCAGTAAAGGAAAGTTGGGGAACCTAAGTGTAAGAAATGGAAAGTTGGAGGATTGAAGGGGGATTTTGGGAGAAGAAAAGTCTGGAGGAAGGGAGATAAAAATCTGCCCTTCCCCTTCTCTTCTTCATTCTTTGCTCTTCTTTGCTCTTCTTCTCCTCCTTCCCCCCCAAACCGACTCCACCATTTCTCTTCTTCTTCCTCACCAAAGTACAGAAACAAGAGCGATCCAGGGTAAGGATTGGACTAGAAATTATAAGAGAGAAGAAGAAGAAATTATAAGAGAAGAGTAAAAGAGGAAGTAAAGAAGAAGAAGAAGAAGAAGAAGAAGAAGAAGAAGAAGAAGAAGAAGAAGAAGAAGAAGAAGAAATTATAAGAGAAGAGTAAAAGAGGAAGTAAGGAAGAAGAAGAAGAAGATATGGGGCTACCATTTTTCGTGCATCAACAGGCCAGTCTGTTCATAGGAAGATCCTGATCAATTTCATCGTTGAATCGTCTTCCAATTTGGAGAGGGAGTTCCAAACCTCCTATTTTACAATCTGACCGTTGGAATCATCCGAATCATCTCTGGTTCATCGAGGAAAGTCGCTGGACAGAAGGGGTGCGATACTGTTTTTTCTGTAGCAGGACAGTAGATTAGAGGTAAGATCCTGTTCGAATCAGTCGTTGGATCGTTCTATAAATTTGGTATAATGTTAAGTATGTTGAATTATACGAATTGACCGTTAGGAAAGTCGTTTTGATTTCTGAGTGGTTAGAAACAATTGTTAGAAGTAGGGGAGTTGGATTTGAAGTGAAAAGAAGGTAGCTGACAGTTTTGAAACGTCAACTTATAATAAATGCTGGGATCAAATGGCTGATACAAATGGTCTGGAATTTGGATATGTTGTAGCCCTATGAATCTAGTTTCAGTAGAAATAAGAATCAACCGAATTTATTAAGATTTGAAGGAGATATGACCCAAATGGTAAACTCGAGCAAGGAAACACGGCCAAAAAATGTGACCGAGTTTTGGAACCAGCTGGCCGAGTTTGCACTACCGAGCGCCG